GCAACAACAACAACAACAACACACCCAGCCCATACCTGCATACAGCAACAACAACAACAACAACAACAACAACACACCCAGCCCATACCTGTATACAGCAACAACAACAACAACAACACACCCAGCCCATACCTGCATACAGCAACAACAACAACAACAACAACAACAACACACCCAGCCCATACCTGTATACAGCAACAACAACAACAACAACACACCCAGCCCATACCTGCATACAGCAGTTGTCAATAATCATGGTCTCAAATTGAATCTTGGGATACATCTTGGACACCTCGTCACAGCACTGCATGAAGAGGCCGTCGCCCAGTTTCCTGATGATGGGGGGGGGAGGACACAAGACATGTACAGGATTACAATCGCACAAACACACACACACACAATCCATTCCGTGATGTCATGGCCGATTTAATCGACCATAATTCGAAGCGCTATTCTTGTGTTCATTTATCCCATCTTTCTATTGCCAAGCATTTCAACTCCTTCACACATAAGCTCTACTTCCTGTTCACATTCTACTTTCCGAAAATGTATAAGTTTGTGACCTTCACTAAGTCTGCCAGTTCTCAAGCATGTTGCAACAAAATATGGAGAAATCACGTCATTTTCCCTGACACCACAGGCTCTTTGTTAATCACGCCTGGAGGGTTAAGAGAATAATTTTAGTAGAGGTTTTATGGCACTCGCAACTGCATATGGTCATTTGAGCGCCAGAAGATTAGATGTGTTAAAAGCTTGGGGGGGTTAAGATAATAATAGTAATAATTCTTCAAAAATTTCTTATAAAAAAAGGCCCTCCTCCCCTTCCCCTCCACCCAAAAAAAACAAGAAACAAACAAAAACAAAAGAAAAACCCAACAACAACACCTTTTCTCCAGATACACCTGTGAGACAGACCAAACACCACAACTCAAATGCTTGGAGGGTAAAAAAACCCACAAGCAAACAAGAAAAAAAATAAAAGAAAAACCTAATGACAACACCTTTTCTCCAGATACACCGGTGAGTGAGACCAACACTGCGTCACCGCGACTCACTAGCTCGGAGGGTTAAGATAATAATAATTTTTTAAAATTTCTTTAAAAAAGAACCCCCCCCCCAAGAAAAACCAACGACATCTTTCATCCAAAAACAATGGTGAGTGAAATCAACGTTGCGTCACCACTACTCACATGCTGGGAGTGTTAAGATAATCATTTTCAAAAATTTCTTTAAAAAACACCACTCCCCCCCAAAAAAT